TTACCACTCAAGAGACAGATCTTGCAGTCATTGTTGATAGTTCTATGAAAGCATGCAGTCAAAGTGCAGCAGTTGTCAAAAAAGCAAACAGATCATTAGGAATCATTAAAAAATGGATAATGAGAGAGAGGATATCTTATTGCCTCTGTATAATTCATTGTACATCCACATCTTGAATACTATCATGACTGATGTGGAGAAAGTTATTGACTTGTTCCTGTAAAACAAAACGGCTGTATCTAGACTGGCAAGTTTTTCCGCAAAATCATCTGCTTTTGCAGAAAAACTTGCCAGCTGTCTACACTGGCCACTTGAATTTCTGCAAAAGCACTGATGATCTCATGTAAGATTGTCAGTGCTTTTGCGGAAAAGTGTCCTGCTAATCTAGATGCGCTTTTCCGCAAAAAAGCCCCGATCGTGAAAATGGCGATCGGGGCTTTTTTGCGGAAAAGCGCGTCTAGATTGGCCACAGATGCTTTTCCGCAAAAAAGCCCCGATCGTGAAAATGGCGATCGGGGCTTTTTTGCGGAAAAGCATCTGTGGCCAATCTAGACGCGCTTTTCCGCAAATGCTTTTAACCGAAAACTTTTCCATTAAAAGTATTTCCGGAACATCATGCCAGTGTAGACGTAGCCGACTTGTTTCATTAGGAGTCAAATGAAATTAATAGAAAGCAGGTTTAAAACAAACAAAAGCAAGTATTTCTTCACCTAACATACAGTCAGCCTATGGAAAGCCTTGACAGAGGATGTTGTGAAGGGCAGGACTTTAACAAGGTTCAATAAAGAGCTAGATACATTCATGGAGGATATTTTCATCAATAGCTATTAACCAGGATGGGCAGGATTGGTGTCCCTAGCCTTTATTTATCAGAAGCTTGAAATGGATGATAGGTGATGCAGCACTTGATAATTACCTGTTCTGTTCTGCCTCTCGGGCAGCTGATATTTGGCCATGGCTGGAAGACAGGAATATGGGTTAGATGGGCCTTTGGTCTGACCCATTATGGCTGTTCTTATGTTCTTATATAGAAATGGGTTTTTTAAACTCTCTCACACACCTGGGCTATGTCTAGATTGGCTAGTTTTTCTGGAAAATCAGCCACTGGCCGCTTGAATTTCCGCAAAAGCACTGACTTCCTACTATAAGAAATCAGTGCTTTTTGCGGAAATAATATGCTGCTCCCGTTTGGGCAAAAGTCCCTTTTGCGCAAAACTTTTGGGCAAAAGTCCCTTTTGCGCAAAACTTTTGCGCAAAAGGGCTAATGTAGACAGCTGAGATTTGTTTTGCGCAAAAAAGCCCCGATCGCGAAAAGGGCAATCGGGGCTTTTTTGCGCAAAAGCACGTCTAGATTGGCCACGGACGCTTTTCCGCAAAAAGTGCTTTTGCGGAAAAGCATCCATGCCAATCTAGACGCTCTTTTCCGAAAATGCTTTTAACGGAAACCTTTTCCGTTAAAAACATTTGCAGAAAATCATGCCAGTCTAGACGTAGCCCTGGATTCCTCAGAAAATACTCCATTTCATTTAATCATTGACAGAGATATTTTCAAGTATTTAAACACTCTATGATAAATGCATATTTGGGACAAAGATTTTTCTAAAATAAATCTTACAATTATGCCATAAAGTGAACATTAATTCTGCAGCATAGCTAGAAAACCTATGCTGAGTTTGAAACTTATAAAGATCTTGGTTATTTTTCATGAGAAATTGAGTGAAAGAACCATAAGTCTTCCTTTCTGATGTTATCAAATTAACATAATCAGGGATACAAAATAACTTTATTACCCTTTCACACCATTTTACACATAACTAAGGTTTTTAATGTTGTATTATAGCTTGAACAATCTATCGTTCAAAGGTTATAAGATACAAACACTCCCTGTGGCTATGTGCTTGTAATTAAATACAGTGCTTAAAAAGGAACTAATTAAAACAATGTTTTGATGATGGCAGCATAATACTTAATAACCTTTGTAGTGAACCAGCTGTGCAGCGAATATAACATTTGCTCATCCTTTGTGTAAGTGCGTGCATGAGTATATGTATCTGTGTTTGCGAGCAGTAAGAAACAATGGTGACAGTAATTGGCAAAACAGCTGTTAGATCTACACTTGGGTGGCTTTGACTCTATAGCTATACTAGAATATTATACTGCCAAAGTGTTCCTAATGTGAATCCCTCTTAGTACTTTTGTCAGCATAACTTATCTCAGCCCTGTCCTTCTAAGGAATGAAGGAAGGAAGATATCTGCACAAGTGCAGTTTTCTCAGTATGCACCTACGATGAGGGCCTTTTGCTGGCATCACTATTGATCACAATTGACACCGTGATTGATATAGCAAGAGTTTTGTGTAGACCTGGCTTCAGACACTCAAAGATCTAGGAAGTGGGAGGGATGTGGAATGAGGAGTAACAGTAGTTCAAATTAGGATCTTTAATTCAAACTACCTACTCTGTGCAGCGTGTAGCCGCGGGCATGGAGTTCAGACTAAGGGGGATTTAAAAATGGTGGCACCCAGGAACATGCAAATGAAGCCCGGGATATTTAAATCTTGGGCTTCATTTGCAACTCTGCTTGCCCTAATTATCCTACCTAGCTCGAACTAACGAGCTCATGTAGACGTACCCTAACAGTGATCACCAACCAGTAGATCGGGATCTACCAGTAGATCTTAGAGCCTCTCTCAGGTGATCCTGACTGGTTTGGCTATCAAGCGCTGGCACTTCAGTTGCTCCCCCACCCACTGTCATGCTGCTCCCACCCTCTGCCTTGGAGCTGCCCCCCTGGAGCCTCCAGCTTGCTGTGCAGGCTGTGAGAGGGAGAAGAGTGGGTGCTGATGTCAGGGTGTCCCTCCTCCCCCCACTTCTGTACCCCATCTTCATACAGAGAAGGGGTTGGAGGGAGCTTGCAATGCAAATCTCTGTCACTCTCAAGAAGGTGTGCGCCTCTTTCAGTCTCACAAACACACAGGCTACGTCTACATTGGCCCCTTTTCCGGAAGGGGCATGGTAATTTTTGAAATCGCAATAGGGAAATGCGCGGGGGATTTAAATATCCCCCGCGGCATTTAAATAAAAATGTCCGCCGCTTTTTTCCGGCTTTTAGAAAAGCCGGAAAAGAGCGTCTACACTGGCCCCGATCCTCCGGAAAAAAGCCCTTTTCCGGAGGATCTCTTATTCCTCTTGGAAAGGGTTCCAATTAAAGTATTCGAAGTAGGAATAAGATCCTCCGGAAAAGGGCGCTTTTTCCGGAGGATCGGGGCCAGTGTAGACGCTCTTTTCCGGCTTTTCTAAAAGCCGGAAAAAAGCGGCGGACATTTTTATTTAAATGCCGCGGGGGATATTTAAATCCCCCGCGGATTTCCCTATTACGACTTGTGAAATTAACATGCCCCTTCCGGAAAAGGGGCCAGTGTAGCCGTAGCCACACTGTCCTTCAGTCTTCTCTCCTGACCCAACACATACTGGGGTGGCGGGGTTGTTACTTCTGTTACTACTTGCAAAGTGGGTTAGTTTTGGTTTTTGACTGGTCTGTGCATTTCATAATTTTCATTTCTCTTTTATGCTTAATTTTAATTCTTTGAGTAGTGATTTCTAAAATGCCAAACCTGTCGTGGCTGCAATAATTATCCCTATGGTAAGTGCTGTTCCTGGAAGTGGCTGGCATGTCCCTGCAGTCCCTGAGAAAGGCAGAACAGGGGGTCTCCACACGCTGTCCTTGCCTGCAGACACCACTCCTGCAGTTCCCATGGATCAATAATGGAACGTGGAACCGTGGTCAGTAGAAGCTGTGGGCTCAGTGCCTGCATATGAGAGGCAGTATATGGCACTATGGAGCCATTGCTGTAGATGCCAGCTGCTTTCAGGAGTGGTGCAGAGCCAAGGTAGGAGTAAGCCTGCCTTAACCTCACTACTCCACCACCCAGAAGCCATCTACGTTAAACAGTGGCCAGCCAGCGCCTGCTTCCTGAACCTCCTCTTACACCTAACCTCCTGCCCCAGAGGTGAGTACCCCTGCACCCAAACTCCTTCCCAAAGCTTGCACTCCAAAAGCCCTCCTGGACCCCAATCCTCCAACCTAGGCTAAGCCTCGAGCCCCTCCCACACTCCAAATCCCTTGGGCCAAAACCAGAACCTGCATCCTGATCCTTACCCCAGCCCAGTGACAGTGAATGATGGTGGGGGAGAAAGAGGGATGGAGTGAGAAGAGTGAGGCCTTGGAGAAGGGGTGGAGCAGGGGCAGGGCCTCAAAGAAGGGGCAGGAAGGACGCAGGGTGAGGGTATTTGGGTTTGAGGTAGATCTTACATTGCACTTAAATTGAAAAAGTGATCTTGTGCTTAAAAAGGTTGGAGGCCGCTGCTCTATAACATACTGTACATAGCTCAATGACCAACCCTGTGGGTTGAGAAGGTAGTGTTGTGGGGGAAAATTGCTTCTTGTGTCCAGCTAATGATAATTTTATACCCAGAACCATGAGCTTCAATTTCCTGATTATATACTTGCCAAAACAGGACAACTGCAGGTGCTAGTCTTATTCATATGTCTAATCTTTTTCTTTAATCTTGCCAAACCATTTGCTTCAATCATACCTCAGCACATTGATTTCCTCAGGCTAATTATACACTGCAGACCCAAGTGAAAAACTAAATGAGTATCTCAACAAACCTTCTCAAACAGGGTTGTATATACAAGGCAAAACAATAGTTTTCTAACCGAGTAGGCTCAAAGGAGACTGTGATAGTGTGTCACCATATTTTATATTGATATGGGCTATGTTCAATATTCTTATTCAACAAGAATGAGCTTTTCAGATGGGAAATGTTGCTTGCACTTTGGATGCCTCAGATCCATTTTTCATTATGGTAATTTTTATGGTATAAGGGTTTCCTGATTGACACTAATTGATTGTCCCTCCTGAGGGTTAATTGACATAAGCTTGTCTTTGCACTGATAATCAGCTCTTTACCCACTTTGCAAAATGGTTGTAGCAGAAATGTCAGTGTATCCTGATAACATGGCTTGTAAGTAAAAATATTTTTGATTACTCTGGAATGGGTGTTGTGTTTCATACTCCATTAATATTTTTCAGACTTTTGCTCTAGAGAGATTGTGCTGGGCTCATTTGCTGCTCTGTCATGTATTTCAATTAGAAATTGCATACAAAGTATTTCCTTTACTCTGTTACAACCAGTGAAGTTCTGGGGCTAAATCCTGTGCATCTGTTTGAAAATATACACAGATTTTTAATATATCTATCAAGTTTATTCCTTTCCTGTCATTGAAGTGCCTCTTATTTATGTAACTTTGTCTTTAGTAGAGGACAGATTTTCAGACAGTCAAATGTTAAGGCAGTCATATGTTTTATACAAATGTGTGAATAAATGTATAACAATTAAAAATAATTCTGTTATGGAAAAATAAGTATCTGAGAAAAGTATGTTGGGCTATGCTTACTGGTAACCAGCTTTTAGCCAGTAATGGAATATGTTGTGAAATGCAGTACACTAAAGATTTAGGTTGCTTTTTGCTGAGAATTCAGTTATGTAAATTGTCTCCCAGGATATATTTCTATAGGCATTTTTAGAGTTAATATAACAGGTACAGCAGTAAGGAGAATTAATGTGTCAGATTTTACAATCCTCCATAGACCCCTCTCTTCAGTTTTACTGTAAAAAACCACATAACAGTAAAACACAATAAATAAATTTGATTCATATGTAAAAATCTTATTGCAGTCCGAATATCAAAAGCAGTGTTAAAAAATGCTATATCACAGTTGAAAATCTGAAAGTATCATAAACTACAAAACATGACTATGGCCTTTACAGTCTGAAGATGCTTGGATACAGGAAAGTATATGTATCAGTTGAATAGATTCACACTGAATATTTATTTGATGATTTAGCCCTTTTTGAGTTTCTCAACAATCCATAAACAGACATTGATTTTTTTTTATGAATGTGTTATTCAGAATGTATTGATGACCAATCTATGTGAATATGTTGCATCATCCAGGCTATTTCAGGCCATTTGTCATTGACAGTTTGCTATTGGTGATGTATGACTGCTCACATAAATCACAAGATATTGTATCTTCCTTTATGATGGGATGGCAAAAAGAAATCTTATAAACTAGAGGAGATGAATCAAAGGGATTTTAGGATGGCCATATGAATTCTTTCAGGAATGAATTACTGAATCAGTGGAGCCATCATTATGCGTGGTGCATACCGTTGTTAGTGCATCAGTTTGTTAGCATTTGACCTTCCAACCTAGGCCACTACAATGCCCAGTCAGGTTTGGACTAGTGGCCCTCCATCATGACAGCTGGGCACAGGTCTAAAACTGAATGAGCTGTGTTGCAATTCATATGCTCCAGGTCACAACCTGAGTGGAATGTGGGGTGTCCACTCTAGTTCTGGTCCTTCTTGGCACTGCCGTGGGGCTACAGTGCCCACCAGAGGTCCCTCCCCTCCAGAGTGACATGCCTCAATCCAGGTCCTTTCATCTTCTAGCACCCTGTGTCCCATTCTCATTCAATAACATTATCTAGCAGCTTATGTCTCATTCAACAACAGTCCCACAACCTGCTATGGATTTGGGGAGGGGAGCAGTGGAAAGTGCTTGCACAGGGGAGCCAGCTTGCAGAGGAGTGGGAGGTTCAAGTGCGTTTTGTGACTATTATATTAAAAATTTCTGGGACACCCCTGCAGAGTGTACATATATTTACACGATCGTTCACAAGATATTAGCTTTCTATGAGCAGCGAGGAGTCCTGTGGCACCTTATAGACTAACAGAAGTGTTGGTGTATAAGCTTTTGCAGGCAAAGACCCACTTTGTCAGATGCATGTAGTGGAAAAAATATCTGACAAAGTGGGTCTTTGCCCACAAAAGCTTATTCTCCAATACTTGTTAGTCTATAAGGTGCCACAGGACTCCTTGGCGCTTTTGCAGATTCAGACTAACACAGTTACTCCACTGAGTTTTCCATGAGCATTCCCACGAATATATTTATTCATACAAATGTTTTTGGGAAATAAAAAATCATAAATATCACTAATGTTAATTTGTTTTTAGCTGAACAAGTATTAATGTATTTTGTTTCCTATTTCCTTACATACCCAACAGATACCATATCTCTGGGTACATGTACACAGCACTATTATTTTGAAATAACTATTGTTATTTCTAAATAACTTAGTCCGCATCTACACAGGCAGTTATTTTGAAATAATGTAGAAATACTGTCAAGCTGGAGGACTTCTTATTCTGACTCCTGTAACCCTCATTGTATGAGGAGTAAGGGAAGTCGGAGGAAGAGTGCTCTATTTCAAAATAAGTGTTGTTTAAACACTCCCAATTTCGAAATAAGCTATGTCAAAATAAGCTACACAACTTAAGTAGTTCAATTTGCATAGCTTATTTCAAGTTAAGCCCTGCTGTGTAGATGCACCTTAGGTGCACGCGTACACGCATGCACACACACACGCGCGCGCACACACACACACACACACACACACACACACAACTCAATTCATTTTTGTTTGTCTTCATTTAAATTTTTGCTGTGGGCTGGGGTTGGGAATGATTGGTTCAGTATGCAAGCTGCCCCAGGGAGAAAGGACTACACCAGCCTTCTCTCACCACAACAGCTTCAGACCAAGTGAGAAGCACCTCTCCATGGCCACGGCAGCTCCAGCACTGTCTTTTTTCTCTATGGTTTTCTGAGAAGCAATCCCATTCCGGGTACATCCCATTTTCTTGGCACAACCAAACCTTTATCTTGCTTTAAATCATGATACAAGAGAAAGCTGCACACAGAATTTGGTGGTCTTAGCTGTTTCTGTATGGGAGGAGTTCTAGAACAGTGTTGTAGGGTGGTACACTTACCCAACCCCAGGGGGAGTAGTTGAGTCCCTAGTGCTCTTGAAATCACACCCAGACCCCATGCGGTCAGTAATTCCTCTTCTGTCCTAAACACATGGCCCCCTCATTGAGGCCATGCAGCATAACTGCCCAAGTCAGTAATCAACACACCTCTCATTGGGACAGTGTGGCCTTGTGGCAAAGTCAGTAACCAACACCCCTTTCACTGGGGCAGTGCGGCCTAACAGCCAAAGTCAATATGTGGGTGCAGGGTTGGGGAGTAGGTGGTAGGGGACCCAGGCCTTCCCTACTCCACCAGGGTCCTATTAGCAGTGGCATGGTCCACCGGTCACTCAGCGGGAAAACCCACCACAACACACTGAGCACCTCGGGATATGATTGCCTGCCCTGAGCTACTTCCTGCCATTCTCTGCTGGACTCCTTCTAGGGTTCTTCCTCCATATCCTCTGCCATGGTGCTAGTGTCTCACTGGCTGTTCTCCAGGTCCAGTCCCTCTGGCTGTTCACCCACATAAGCTTTGGTAGTGTCTCCTTCCTCCATAGCAGCCAACCCAGATTAAGCCTCTCTCCAGGTCTTTAAACCTGGGCTGCAGCCCAAGCATGTCCAAGAAGGCCACGGGGGCAGGACTTCTTCAACCTGGAGAACCTGGTTAGGCCTAGCTCCCCCAGTGTGGGGCTGGTACACCCTGTCACAAACAGACAAACTCTTTCAAATGTATTGTAGATATTGCACTATAGCAGATACTAGCATCTACAAGCATAATTGCTCCTAATTCTTGCCTGCTTGAAGAATGAAAGATTGGGGCGGCAGAGAATAATAGTTTATGCAAAGAACTGTAGTTGTTCAGCAAATCATAAATTAGATGAGGAAAGATTCAATGCCTGGTTTAACTATATTCTTACAAAGGCAACTCTTAGCAATTGAGGATCTTCTCAAAGTTAACAACAAAAATCAAAACAGGTCAGCTGACTAATCTTCCTACTTACTCCCCCTATTGCATTTGATTTATTGTACATATACAATGTTTGGTTTATATAACTTCATTTTCAGTATTCCTCCTTTCTCTCTTGCCTCACCTCTTTTTCCTTGTCCATTCCTCTTTGCTGTTTTCAGCCATAGCTAAATGGAAGACATGAGTTTTACACTTCATTCTGTAGACAGTGAAAATGAGGGACTCAAATTAAAAAGACTATCTGTTCCAGTGAGAAAATCCAAAACTTTGTTTCAGTTTCCAGGTCAGTTCTCTGAGGACCCGTCTACACAGCAGGACAAAAGTGGAATTAAGCTAAGCAACTTGAGCTACATGAATTGTGTAGCTTAAGTCAAAATAGCTTAACTTGGCTTTTGGCACTGTCTACAGAGCAGGAAGTCAAAGGAAGAACATTCTTCCTCCAACTTCCCTTACTCCTCGTACAATGAGTTACAGAAGTCAGAATAAGAAGTTTTCCAGCTCACCATTATTTCAAAATAATGGCTTGCAGTATAGACATGCTCTTTGTTATTTCAGAATAATGTCAGTTATTCTGAAATAATGCTTCTGGTAGACTTTGGCTAGGTCTACACTTCAATGTTAAATCTGAAAAAGAAATGCAATTTGCGGTACACAAATAGCTTATATTATTCTGATTTACTCTCAAAAGAGGCTCTTTCAAAATTTGGCACATGGCACAAAATGTCAAAAGAAAGTGCTCTTTCAATACATCCCTTATTTCTCGTAAAATGAGGTTTACAGGGATGGCAAAAGAGTGCGTCTGCTTTTTCGATTCTTTTTTTCCGAAAAAGCAGACACTTTCCTTGGATGTGGCGTTGCTTTTCCGGTATCTCTCTGGTATCCTGAAAAAGAAATGCAGTCTGGACATAGCCATAGTCTCATGTCTAGTCACATGAGCTTCACGCTAGAGGGGCTTATCCTTTTCGAACTCCCAAGAAACATGCCCATAGAGAGAGCTTGCTGTTGCAATCACAAAGGCACTTTGAGATATCTTCCATAGAAGGCCTTGAAGACTAACAGTGAAACTTAGAATCTGATTTGATATTTCATGAATAGCCTAGATGATGACCCCATACTGAGATAATATCTTCTGGGCAGTTATGTGGCTAAAGAGACCATCTGTTGTATTCTGGAGTAATTA